ATACACACACACAATATACACACACACACAAATACACCACACACACACACACACACACACACCAACATACATACATAACACACACACACACACACATACACACACACACACATACACACACACACACATACAGTACACACACATATACATACACACTTATACAGATGTACAATAGTTCAAAAGAAAATCTCAAATCAACATAGATGATTAACAATAATGTAAGTAGACATGTGATAAATATGAAAAGATAAAGTAACTATTGAAACAGGATATCATAAAAAGTTGAGCATTTGTATGAACATGTTAAATATATTTACATAAGTGTGCAGATGTGCGTGCAGGTTGAGTGTTGGAATCGCTCCATGGGGCTATTCATGATGACCTTTGTTGAATAGAGGATTTGTTGAATCCATCAGATAATGAAAAGCTTCAAACAGATGTAACGGGCATCTCCTCTCTCTCTGCTCTCAGAGTAATCTAATCAACACGGCTGCAGAACGGCATGATGGGAGTCATCAAGTCTGTCTGCGTTGTTTCCTGTCCGCAAGTTCAATCACAGATCAGACAATCTGACGGGCACGGGCACTTTGCACGATGATTGCTCAGGGTTGTGATTTCCATTCTGCACACGGTTACAAATGAGTACTATGAAGATTTGTTGCTAAGATTACACAATATTGTGTCTTCCTGCTCTCTATGTCGGCTGCCATTAAAGGTCCCCTACAGTTTTTCATCAATAAATTATAGGTCTCAGATATATACAGAACCTGTCTCTGATTGGCTGAAACACCAAACAGATCATTGCAGCATTACCCATAATCCCCTCTGTTTCAGCCCTGTTTCCAAAGTGCAGATTCTCTGTCTGTTACTTTAGATGAAAATAAGGAGCCGCTCCCCACGCCCCTCTGAGAGACATTTGGTTACAAAGAACTCAATGGTGCTCTTGGAGGAGATTCAGGTGATAAGGGGGGGGGGGGGGGGGGTTACCTTGTTGCTGATTGGCTAATGGTTACTCAAGCCAAATATCGTTATGACATCATAAAGTGGCCAAAATCTGATCAGATCATTTTCAGACAGGTTTTTATAGAAATGGATCAAAAAGAGAGAGAATCTTTGTTCCTGAAACTTTCAGAGTCTCTTTCCACAGAGGGGACACATGTTGATGTAGAAGAGACATGAAGAAGAGGGGACACATGTTGATGTAGAAGAGACATGAAGAAGAGGGGACACATGTTGATGTAGAAGAGACATGAAGAAGAGGGGACACATGTTGATGTAGAAGAGACATGAAGAAGAGGGGACACATGTTGATGTAGAAGAGACATGAAGAAGAGGGGACACATGTTGATGTAGAAGAGACATGAGGAAGAGGGGACACATGTTGATGTAGAAGAGACATGAAGAAGAGGGGACACATGTTGATGTAGAAGAGACATGAAGAAGAGGGGACACATGTTGATGTAGAAGAGACATGAAGAAGAGGGGACACATGTTGATGTAGAAGAGACATGAAGAAGAGGGGACACATGTTGATGTAGAAGAGACATGAAGAAGAGGGGACACATGTTGATGTAGAAGAGACATGAAGAAGAGGGGACACATGTTGATGTAGAAAGACATGAAGAAGAGGGGACACATGTTGATGTAGAAGAGACATGAAGAAGAGGGGACACATGTTGATGTAGAAGAGACATGAAGAAGAGGGGACACATGTTGATGTAGAAGAGACATGAAGAAGAGGGGACACATGTTGATGTAGAAGAGACATGAAGAAGAGGGGACACGTGTTGATGTAGAAGAGACATAAAGAAGAGGGGACACATGTTGATGTAGAAGACACATGAAGAAGAGGGGACACATGTTGATGTAGAAGAGACATGAAGAAGAGGGGACACATGTTGATGTAGAAGAGACATGAAGAAGAGGGGACACATGTTGATGTAGAAAAGACATGAAGAAGAGGGGACACATGTTGATGTAGAAGACACATGAAGAAGAGGGGACACATGTTGATGTAGAAGAGACATGAAGAAGAGGGGACACATGTTGATGAAGAAGAGACATGAAGAAGAGGGGACACATGTTGATGTAGAAGAGACATGAAGAAGAGGGGACACATGTTGATGTAGAAGAGACGTGAAGAAGAGGGGACACATGTTGATGTAGAAGAGACATGAAGAATTGGATTTTGCATAATAGGTGACCTTTAAACATGGGCACTTTTGTTATTGGATGACATACTGCTTTTCGAGCATAATCCAACTGTAAAATGTCTAGTCTTAATTCCTTTATCAAACGTATGCAGAGTAAAAAGTATACTTTGTGCCCCCAAAATAAGGTAGAGGGAAAATATAAAGCAGCATAATACAGAAATTAAAGTACATTTCCTTATCTTCCACCCGAGCATCAACCATCACATTCACCAAGTAGTTGCCTGATAAACTTCATTCCAGTATAACTTAGGCAGGGGTGAAGTTCAAACCCAAAAAACAAGAGCCCATCAAAGGCCTTGTTCGCATAAACAAGACCTTGAAACTGTGGTGCCTGCAGTTTGGATTGATCCTCCGTCTGATGTGGCCTCTGACGGTCTACGAGGTTCCCATCACCGATGTTGAGAAGCTGGAAAGAGACCTGTCATTTCCTACATCAAGAGATGGCTTGGACGACCTCGTTGCCTCAGCAGTATCGGCTTATATAGGCACATTGTCTCCAGCTTTACAGAATACAAAATGCACCGAGGTGGGAACGGTGATGACCCTGACCGCATCGTAGGTCCCCTATTATGCTTTTTGATGTATTTTATACATCAATGTGTCCCCAGTGTGTCGGGGAACTCACGCAGCGTCAGGAAACAAAACCCTCTCTCTTTTCCTCCGTACCCAAATCTCTAAAAACAGGGAACAACGGAGCTGATCCAGATTTGCGTCTGATATGACGTAACATCTGAAATATGGACCCACGGCCCAATCAGAAACGTTGCTATCAGAAACAATGCGACGTGTTTTTGAAGTAATATGGTCTTTGTTTACATTAGCAAGCATCGCTAACACTCAGAGCTAACCTGTACTGGAGAGAGTATGTGTAAAAAAGGACATAAAGGTACTAAAAAATAATGTGAGCTCCATACTGTTTCAGAAATAATGCTTGATGTGGTTTGGAACATAATATGGCGTTTAATCACAGCAGCGTTTAGCTGAGTTTCTGCCGGTAGAATTCTCTGTCAGGGTTGAGAGAGGCAAGCAGGACCCAAATGCAGATGAACAGAAAATACCTTTTGTTACGTTCCCTTGTAGAGCTAGGGGTACCAAGGGAAGTAGCGACACACAAGATAGCCGGACGAGAGAAAAAGGAGAGGAAACTGAATGCTGAAGGAGTTTAAGTGAGGTTTTAATTAGTGAATAAGTAAGGCGGCTCACCAGCCCAATTACAAAACAAACTTACAGTAAACAACACACAACTATGCTGGGTCTCCCACAGAGACATGCTGCACACATGCAGCCAGATGAGAAGGAGAGAGAAAGCAGCAACCTTCCTCCTGTCCTATATGGAGGCCCTGATTGAGGATTGGGAGCACCTGGGGAGAGGCTGCACCTGGGGACAATCAAGGCTGCACCTGGGGAGTCAGAGGGAGAGAGAGAAAAACACCCACACGACCACACAAACACTACGGCACGTAACACCTTTATTTCAAAGTTTAAAGACAGAACTCTTCCCAGTGAACAACGTCCAACACCAACAAGGAACTCACAAAGACTAACAGAAAACACAGAACCTAAATGCACACATGACTAATCAAACAAACAAGAGACAGGTGAGGAGGGAGGAGAAAACACAGGGGCACCAGGTGAACACAATCAGGTAATCAGGGAGGCAAAACAGACAGACACCAACAGGCAAGACAGGAGGTGAACACTTTTACAAAATAAGGAAACC